TCTCTTCTATGGCATTTTCAATCAAGGCACCCTATTTTCAGGTGTGTAAGCCGCAGGGTGATCCTATCTTACATCTACCAGCCCCAACACGGCAAAGGAACTTTACAACAAAAGGGCCCTATATCGTGTTGGATATAGCCTGAGAGGGTCGTGCGGCATAAGGATTGCTTTTCGAAACACAGTGAGGCGGCTGAGCAGCTCGATGTAAGATAGGACCAACCAGCGGCTTATACACCTGAAAATAGGCTAACGTGAAAAGCGATTCTATTCACCAATGATGAGAAGCTAGATAACGATGGGGAGCCCAAAAGCTTTGCCCAGATGCATCCGTATTTATGTTTTTGCTCAAGTTTTCATTTGGGTTTTTGCATTCTAGCGCACAGAATCAATTTTCCAGCCTTCTCTTCTGTCTTGCACAAGCACCGCATGCGCGAAACTTTGTTGTCATCTTCGAAAAGGTTTCTAAAAATCTTCTTTGATGAAAGAAAACTCAAAAAACTCCTAATGCTGTCGCTCGTGCTTCTCATCTGTTTAAAAAAGCTTGATTCGAGGATTCCGTGTATTAAAGGTATGCTTTCTACTACATGCAGTGACATGGTATATTTCAATAAATGACAAGATCAGTTTGCCAGTAAAACTGCAAGTTCTTTGCAGGGTCAATCAAGACGTTTTTCCCAAGGATTCTGCTAATAAAAGCATATGATGTGCTCAGATCAAAATATAACTTAATTTCTGCCGTTACCAACTGTAGAGTAGGCAGGATCAAGCTATGTGTGGCAAACCATGTTGAGGTCATACTGAGGGGTCGGAGATGGAAGAGGATCGTAATTGAGGTGATAATAATGTAAGCAATGACTGAATATTTGCTATTTCAAATAACCCACTATGCCAAGCAGAAACATGTTGGAATATTTCATTTTTGATCCATCCAAGTCAAATTGTTTCGCATAATCAATATCTTTTTCGGTACTTGCTAAGTTTGACCAAGATTGTATGATAACTTTATTGGCTGACGTCGACGTTTCGGCGACACGAAATCATCTGGCGGATCGCAGTGTGTACCAACCTTCTTTTGCCGATGAGTTTGAGAAACAGTATCAACGTCTCAATAGGGTTTGGTCAGAAACAGTTCACTCTGCAGGCCTACCTTGAAGTATTAGCGCATTCAAAATGCGAACTGCCAATCTGTCCGGTCTTGTATACACTTATCAAAACGCACACCTCCGCCGCGGGCCTTACGTCAAAAAATGCATGCGATTTCAGAGTAAGGCCAATAATCAGCAATGTTGGAGGTCCGACGAATAGGATTGCGTGGTTTATCAACATAATCTTAACGCAACTATTACAGTATATCTTTGCACACCTCTCTAATACTAATATTCTACTCGACCGCCTCTGCAATATGCACTTTAGCTTTAACTCCTTCATAAAGTCGTTTGCCGGTAATTCGCTTTATACCAATGGTCAATCGGTGCCGCAATGCGAGCTATCTGCGAACTTTTATCTCAGCGTAACTCCTCACTGCGCTTGTACGGGTTTACCATAAATACCTTGATGATCCTTCTAGAAGAGTGCTTGAGTTGTAACGTTTTCAATGGTCGGCAATTACTATAAGCAGGTCAGAAGCTTAGCGATTGGGCAATGCCTAACGCCAACACTTGCCCTGCTTTCATGTCCAAAGCGGAAGCGCCGGTGCTAGAGCGCAAGCCGCTATGTACTAACGTTATATAGATGACTGCTGCATAGTTTGTCCCTCTCAGACTGAAATGGACATATGGTTTCGCAGGCTTAACGAGCAGTTTCCCAGCATTAAATTCACCAGGGAAAAGCCCCACGAAAATTGGCTTGCGTTTCTTATCGTCCAAATTCATATATCGGGCGGGGAATATAAAACTAGATGGACAGCAAACCCAGCTGCAGAAATATCTTGGTGCATTATTTGTCTGAACACCCGCGCAAAACCAAAAATTCCATCACCACAGATATGTTTAAAACAGCAGCTCGTGTCTCATTTGGGAGCCAGGACCGTGCTGTTTTGAACATGGCTTCTCAGATCGCCAAATCAAATGTCTATTCCAAACGCTGCTCTACCCGACAACGCCGGTCTTTAAAGATAGAATCAATCCAGTTGTATAGCGGATAGGATTTTTTTTGCTTGCTGTTCGTTTCGGATGAACTTAGCAGGGCAGTGCGGCGATGCGTACATTGCGCGGGCTTGCAAGAGGCGTTTAGTGTGGTCGAGTCGATATATCATCCCCAGACTTGAAGCACCGACTGGTTCGCAACTATATATGACCGCACTTGTTTGACTCAGGCTGTGTGATATGCCCTTATAGCAGAGAGGGTGACCGCATGGTGACAGAAGCGATTTACCTTATCACATATTCATCGTGTGGACCTACATCGGAGAGACCGGACGCGCTCTTGTGTACGCATCAAAGAACATCGATATGGGCTAGATAAGCCAAAGCCCTTCACATTATTGGAGCAACATAAACTATTTTTGGAACAATAACTCGTCATGAACATGCTGCGGTTCAGATTGCAGCAAAGATCTTATCGTTTGAGCCCTCCTAGCACGCAAAACGTTACGAGCATTTTGGATTGCTGCGAAAATTCCAAAATGAACATAAAAAAGGAGTGCATTGCAATCACCAGCGAACTCGCACCTTATCAGACCCTCTGTGATTTTGACTGAGGTTAGGTCACTCAGGCGTATGAATTGAGGTTGGAGGCACATTCGGTACATGATGGTCTCTTCTCGAGCTACCTGTTGTGTTGCGTCTACGTCTACGGTGAGTATGTGTTCTTGTGGTTCTGATAGTGTCTTTAACTAATCTTTTCGGGTTTGTTTTGTTCGTGGCACTTGACACTTATGGATAGACATTTTGACTTCGTAAGAAGGCGTAGATCGCCGAAACGTCGACGTCAACCAATAAAGTTATCATACCAATCTTGGTCAAGCTCAGCAAGTACCGAAAAAATGTTCAAAGCAGTGTCAAGATTCAAGGAAACTAACTTTCTCCATAACCGTTTGAAGGCGAGTTAGCAGCTTTTGACACTCAATACGAAGCACTACTTCTTTGCCCACATAAAAATTCTCTTTAAACACAGGGTGCGCAGAATAACCGGCGTGTATCTCGCTGAATGCCAGAAGACTACAAGATGGGCTTGCATGATTCAATCATACATCTGTTTTCACCAACCATTTATCATCGTAATGCAGTGTCAAATGAAGTCGGGTGCTTTGTCTTTTGAGAAAATCTCATAATACTTCTCGTCAACTGAAAGTGCTCTATAGCAGGAACAACTTAGAGAGTATACAGAGTGACTTTTTTGTAAACCAGCGAGGTTTATGAATTTTACTTACATGGGTTATAAAATTATGCATGTGACTTGCTTACTCTTGTAAATAATTGAAATAATTTTCAAAATATTACTACACGCACCTTCATTTGAAAAAAAATTTTGCACCCCCCCCCGGAAGGAAATTCTACATGCCTCTGCTTTCTACCTGTCTCATAAATAGAGAAACGTTTTTTATCTGAAATGTTGCTTATCTAGAGTCTCAGAATCGATTTTTAACATAAGCTCTTTCACGTGCGTAGATATTTTCCGCAAATACATCATCGTATTTCTCAGAAGAACAAATTTTTGCAAATACAACCAAACCTACATGGTAGTGATGGATTTGCTCTACAACCTCAGTTTAGTATGGTTCAAAAAGGCTTTCATTCTATTCACTTGCAGAGCAAAACACGAAGGCATAGAAATTGCAATTTTAATTTTTTAGAACTGGTAGTCCGCTTCTTCTCATACTCACATTCTTGAGAAGAGATGTTTTTGAGTTCCGTAAAGTGTCTTCAGTAGAGTTCGATTAGGGCATTCTCATACCGTGAATTCAAGCCTAAGTTTTTCAATGTTTCTTTTGTGGCGCGGTGCAAATATGACGCCGGTAATTTTGGCGCACTCTGTAAACGCCAAACTACAGAATTAGGAGCATGGCAAGTCCGAGGGAAAAGGGCCCCACGCAGGCGAAAGGAGTCAACCAACTCACCTTCAAAGTAATTTACGTTTGAAATTGGCCATTTTACTTACAGGGCTTACAAATTGAGTGTCGTTTGCACCAGCATCTCCATCTTTGCGCTGGGATCTGCGTCTTTTCTGCGGAAGATGCTCCCTAATTACTTTCAATCGATTGAGGCTGCGCCTTTAACACGCTCGCCTTGGGAAAGTGCTCAGAGAGCATATCTCGCAGAAAAGGCGCAGTCCAGCGCAAAGATGGAAATGCTGGTGCAAACGACACTCACTTTGATAAGCCCTATAGGTGACTCAATATCTACGACCTCAGAATTCGCTAAAACTTGGTTCACGACGTTACTTGACATGCTTATTACGAGTGTGTTATCTATTATGCTTGGTAGACCTTGTGTCATGCCTACGGTTGGCGATAATGCTGGGGATCTGAGACGCTAAGAGGAGGAGGGAGGTCGTATCCAGCGTTCGTACGCCACGGTCTTGCTTCGTCCGAATGGTAGGTCACAGAGAAGAGGCAGTCGTTAATCAGGCTGCTACACAAACTTCGAAATTTTAGTGATTGTTACTTTAATTATAAGCTCCTGCAAGACGAAGGCGGTTGGTTCGAGGTGCGACATGGCTGTGACGCGGCTGTGACGCTACTGTGACGCAGCCATGTCGCAGCCGCGTTGCACGTCGAACCGACCGCCTTCGTCTTGCAGGAGCTTATAGACAGCCTCAACTGATGTTCTGTTCAGATCTTTGCTTATTCTTTGAATGCCGTCGAGTCATTTATAGTATAACTTGTTGTGCATACTGCACATCTAGCTACTTGACGACTCGTAAGACTTTCTGAACTTCTTTGTTTTCTTCTCTCAAGATACTAGATATCGTTTTGTTGCGAATGCAGTTTCATATATTGAGCCATAAATGGTCGCGCATTTGTTCCATGGTGGAATTACAAGTTTATATTACAGGTTCTTGCTAAACTGATGAAGAAGTCTCCAGATCTCGGAGCAAGGTACAAGAACGTGATTGATTCATATAATGAACGACTTGCCCAGCTTAAACCCGAAGCGAAAGCGTTTGCTGAAAATGTAGGCTATTTGACTTTACTGCATGATAATTATAGGGCATATCAACCACCATCAGTCGTGGGTACCCAGGGAAAAGCAAAAGCAAAAGCGAGACGCAGGCAGCGAAATTAGTGCCCTAGCGCGAAAGCGTCTGCTTTTAGATCTGTGGGTGAGGTTGAATATCGCTCTTTCCCAAAGTTTCTTGCTGATTTGTTAGAAGCTTCTCTTGCCGTAACTGTCGAACTTCATCCTCAATTACATGTTGGAATATCTAGTTTTCCATATTTCACGCGATGTGAGCAGCATGAGTACCCTGAAATTTCTTTTTTCTTGAATCGATAATAGAAAAATTAATGCGGCGTGTGGTGACTTAAACTTGACACTTTGATTATCGCAATCTGAGATTGGGAGTCTTGAAAACGTTGCACTTGTTGTTTAACAAACTTGAACATGTTTCTCCTCTAATCTACAGTAATAAACCAACCAAATCGGGTAAAGAACCAGTAACATTTCCTTCATCATACTTGTGCGAAGCGTGCTCGAGTCTCCTCAACTTGAATGGATGATAATCTTCTGCTGCGCATGAGCGAAAGCTGCACTTCGCCGTCCCTGCTTGAGCACTCTTCATTCAAAAGTGCCACCATCTCAAATATTTAGTAGTCGATACAAGCAGGGAATCTAATGCCCAAGAAGAAAATAGAAGGTAAACGCGGGATGAATCAAAGTTATGAGCCTGAGAACAAGGCTAGCTTCCGCGCTCGAATGCAAACTTTTCCGCTCGCGTCGCGTGCGCGCCGCCTCATCCTCGGGATACCCACAACTGATGGTGGCTGGTATGCCCTATACGTTGGTGCAAAAATAATGTCCTTTTGCAAAGTTTTACCTTGAAAAGCTATAACTTTGTCCAATTGTCATACTTTTGAATGCAATCAAGACCATTAAAGGCACTAAAGTTTTCTTACCTATCGCGCACCTTTCATACTGACATCGCTAACGGAAAGAAAACCATGCGTCAAAAACTGAAAGTTTTTTTTGATTACTTTCTCTGAAAAATTACAACTCCCTTCAAGTTTAGTCCCTATGGCTGCTAATTAGCTTATTTCGTAGATGCAAGCTAGTAGTACACGTTAATATTAGGTTGTTGCAAAAGTTCTGTCGTTTCATTTTCAAAAATTTGTAACTCCGCGAAATTTCAACGGATGTGCTTGCTTGTAATTTTATTAGAAAGAATAAGTCTTTCGCTTTCAAATGCTGTTCGTAGAGCTTCTGTTTCATACTGGGTGCGGAGATAAAAATGGAAAACTAAGACCATATAAGCTTTGACCATTTTAAGTTAGGTCACCAAAAATCTGGAATGCTGCAGAAAAATCTGAAATGCTCAGTACATATATTTTTTGGCCTACCCTTTGCATCTGTGAAAAGTTTGCGCTGTTTGGACGTCTCCGTGAGAAGTTATGAATATCGAGTTTACTATGGAAAACGCCAAAATTAATTAATTTGTCAATTTTCGCGAAAATCATAACTTCTCACAGAGACGTCCAAACAGCGCAAACTTTTCACAGATGCAAAGGGTAGGCCAAAAAACATATGTACTGAGGATTTCAGATTTTTCTGCAGCATTCCAGATTTTTGGTGACCTAACTTAAAATGGTCAAAGCTTATATGGTCTTAGTTTTCCATTTTTATCTCCGCACCCAGTACGAAACGGAAGCTCCACGGAACAGCATTTGAAAGCGAAAGATTTATTCTTTCTAATAAAATCAAAAGCAAGCAAATCCGTTGAAATTTCGCGGAGTTACAAATTCTTGAAAATGAAACGACAGAACTTTTGCAACAACCTAATATATTAGGTCTGTGCAAAGGTTTCGTCAGTTTTTTAAAACTACCTGCAGATCCCTTACAGTAGAGATAAACAAACTTTCCATGCCGTTCCGATATGGAATTTCCTCATCTTTCCAGCTGCTATACTGCAAGTGTGATTCAATAAAAGAGTGCTGAGACAATTGCTGGAATTTACAACCCTTCGTTTTCACGTTTTGACAAACAAATACATTTTTTCTTTTTTTCGGCTACTCTTTTGAGAATTTTCAAAACAGTTTTCAAAAGTCTGAATTCTGGAAAAATCACACAATCTCTTGTTGCACCGAACACTGCAAAATCTTCATATCAATGAGGTTTCATACCACGATTATGACTGCTATTGATCTTATGATGTAAATGAGCTATTTTCACTTCAAAATATGAAGATTTTGAAACTTAGGGTCTGTCAGTGCGCTCTAAAATAGTGATATACTACGATTTTCCGCATAGATATAGCATGTCTCGCCAGAAAAGACAACTGTTAGAAGAAGGAGAAAAAGGTGCATAGAATGGTATCCGAACTGTTTGCCATTTCATGTTCTATGAGGTGAAAATGGGCGAAATGTAAAATTTAATCACTTTAAGAAATCTTATATATATAAAGCTGAAGTCTATTTGTATGTATGTATGTCTGTCTGTCTGTATGTGTGTACGTATGTTCGGAATAGAAAATTCCATTTCTAAACCGATCCGGACCAAACTTGGCACACGTGCACTTCGGGGCCGGACGGGTGTCGTAGGCCACTTTTCGTCATCGATCGATACCGATTTTATCGGTTTTTCAAAAAGTTCAAGCTACAGGGCTGGGAGTTGGCACAGGAGGGTAAGTTAGCATGCCGATTAGGAATATATTATTGACAGGGCCGGGCGGAGCCGGGTTTGCCAGCTAGTATATCATAAAAATTGTGAAAGACAAATCATAGAGCTCAAAAAATTGCTGCAGGTGGCAAAAGGTTTGCTCTATCTGTTAATTATTGAAGCTTGTCCAAAAGTTCCGCATTACTTTTTAAATTAGCGGAATTTGAACATGGTGAGAACGAAGGGTTGCAAAACCCAGCGATTATCTCAGCACCCTTCTAACGATCACACTCGGAATATAGCAGCTGGAAGAAGGAAGAAATTCTGCATCAGATACAGCTCAAAGCGTTTATCTTTACTGTACGGTATTTGCGAGTAGATTCAAAAAACTGACGAAACTTTTGCACCGACCTAATAGAAAAGACTTGAACGAAGGAGTTCTGCGGAAAGAAAAGAAAGAAACAAATTGTTCACTTTTTTGAGCCTATTTGTGGTAGTTTATCAGTTCCAAACTAACTTGGGAATTTTTATGCATAAATATGTTTCTCTGAAAGAATTGTAGGCGCAGAATCTGTATCGAAAAAAGTTCGACGGAAAAAAGTTGTTCGGAAAATAGGCCTAGAAAAAGGAACGTTTTTTTTTGCATCAACTCAGTACAGGATAACTTGTGCTTAGATGACGGAGTTTCTGAGTAAGTTGTTTGACGAAGACGTGTTGCATCCTTCTACTGTGGAAGAGATAGCAATGGGCGTTATTAATAAGTTCAAGGCTTTACGTGATGATGTCAAGGAGGATTTTCAGAAAGCGTTTCCTGCTGCCGCAGCATTTCTCACAAGTAAACAAAAACTCTTATCTATTTTCAATTTTCAACTAAAAGTTTTCAGGCGAGGAGACAGTGAAACGTCTGCAAGAACAGTAGTAGTCAGAAATTCCACCTAGCTTTCATGAAACCACCTGGTGCGGAGCGCATGAAATTTGATCAGTATGCAAAAAATCAATAAATGGTAGTGCTATTGTTATAGTATAAACCAACCGATGTGGTATGTGAACTGCCAAAGCATACCATGCTCAAACAGGCAAACACAGTCCGCTTGAGACTGCTGTGGTTGTGTAGATTACTGTCTTATAATTGCGAATTGTACCCAGGACATGTCCTGAGTTGACTTATTGTTTCCATGGTATCATCCTTGAAAGCTTCAAGTCAATTTCTGCTCCATTTCCATTTTTCGGTGAAGGATTGCTGCAATTATTTACTTCTACATAAATGCAAAAATTATCAAATTAAAGGACAATTAATCTTCGATTCAACTGGCTTGCCTTGGAAAGGCGGGGCACTGTGACTTAGTTAAGGCCGCTCGCGCCCGCGACGCACCTGCGTCCCTCTCGCGAGTGCTCTCTAATCATTACCTAGCCTTGATTAGATCACGAAGCCCGCCTTCCCGAAGCCAAGTCAGTTGAATCAAATAATATATTATCTGTGATTAACATACTCAAATACTGCCCTTATAGGAAGTCTGGGGACTCTCAAGCAAAGACCGCGGATAAGAGATAACGCCGTCAATAGGTATGATCACAGATGTCCCGTAACAGCATTTCACTTGCCCGCACTCCCCCCCCCCTCTCCGATCAGGCGAGAGTGTCAGGCATCGTTAAAATACTGCAAAACTGTTAAAAAAACGATAAATCAAGTTAACACAGCCATTCTATTTATGGAAGGCATGTCCATGTACCTCTCTGTGGCAGTTTCAGACGTTTTCAAGCAAAATTACATTCCCTGCAAGCAGGTACCAACACGCTTGCACTATAAAACCTTGCGCACTGTTTCCACACGGTGGGTTCGCCGACCAATGAAAACATTTTCGAGTTAATGGAGCTATTCTGCTACGATTTAGAGAAGAAAGCGCACCTAAATTCACCTTAAACGTTTGAAACTTAACCTATTGACGACGACGCCTATTTTATTTGAAGGCATAGTCCACCCAAATTCTGACTTCAATGTGTTTGTCGCTTTCAGGCCTTCGAAAGGCCCTGATTTCGAATATGGAGTCGAGAATCCGCGAAACCCCCCAAACCCCCGTTTTGAAGAACGTTGCAATGTAAGTCGAGGGGCTGCGGCGCTGATATTCGCCGGGAGCACCATATGCAAATCCGCAAAGTGGGCGGGGTGACCAGCTGGGAGTGACCAGCACCAAATTACCTTCTTTCCGGAGCGATTTCTTGCTCTGGAAGCAATCTTTTACAGCGCAACTTGGGAGTTTGCCTAGTTTAGGGGCCCACGCTAGTATGCTATCATAATCTCGTCAACCCCCGCTTTGGGTGGACGGTGTCTTCAAACGGCGTTGTGGGACAGCGCGACATTGCAAGATACTTTCGAGATTTAAGTATTTTACGGTTATGATGCAAAGGATTGTTTTGCAAACAACTGTGAACATTTTTCTGAACGACAGCTTCTACAGGTCCCAAGAGCCCCGTAGACTGCTCCGAGCGCAAACAGTCGGGAAAATTTTAGAGGATATGCCTCTGCAAGAGATGTGGTTTGGTCCACATTGCTGTGTGGGTTGAAGGCAGTGGCTCGGCAAATCCTTGACCTGAGGGTTTTTCGCTTACCTGGGGTAATTCGACGCACTGATTCCTGAAATCCGCCTCAGATAGCACGAAAATGATGAAAATCAGCATTTTCCAAGACCTCTCATTTTGAATTTGGACGAGTGGAACGGTACCCGCCATGGTTAGAGACGCATAGTCGTTGCGGGACCACTCATGGTTATAACGTTGCGGCATGCCTTCTCTGACGGTGGGAGGGGAACTGCAAGCTCGTCCGAGCGCGTGTAAAAATGGCTTGCGCGTACGGGTTTAGGGGCAGTTTTCTAGGCATGAGCAGAATGCCGTGCGCTCGAACATGCTCAGTTTTCACGTTTGGGCTCCAAGCAGTGTTCCATATCAAGATTTCCAGATGTTCGGTTTTGCCAAGCCACTGCCTTTACGAGACTCAAGCGCTTGTGTCAGTTCAATGTCATAAAAACGATCGCGTCCCTAGTTAAAAAGACAGTTTTCTCGTTTATGCAATGTGAATTTGGAGCACAGAGGTTTGTTTCAATATTAGGTGTACAGCTTAACGAGCCGCAACAGGCATTTGGAATATGTTGAGGTTGAGCGGCAGTCAAACTTGCATAATGTTCCAAAAAGCCTGGCAATTGTCCCTTGACTTGATTGCCTTCTCCTCAAATTCAGTATGCAGCGTGCGCTAGCATACTTGACTATGAAATTACAATGTTGCCACCAATCGCTCTTCAGTACTGCAGGATTACGGTAGAAGCTTCAAGCATATGGTGTCATTGTGAAAAAAGCTGCCGTTTCAAAAATTCAAAAAAACGTAAAACTTGTGTAATAGGGCTTTCATGGATGCTGAGTTCAATAAATTATGTACAAGACTGCAGAGCTTATCAAACGGTGTAAATGCACTTTTTAGGAACATTGAAAAAAAGGCCGTTATTTCTTGCAACTTATCAATGAAACATTCTGGTACTTTTGAACTTCACATTCAGAATCAGCAACTCTAGCTAGTACAGTGTGAAGGTTTCCAAGTTGTTTTGTTTCCTCTTCAAAGCAAAATATGGCCTTTCATGGCGCAAGACTTATCCAAAGTCCCTGTTGTAATCCTACAACAAGAAAGTACAATCTGTAATCCGCTCAATACCGCAAATCTAAGTTGAAGTCAGTTCTACGAAACGGTACTTAATGCTATTCGAAAGACCTCATTACAAGAGAGTTATTAACAGTTCAATAATAGGCACATCTTTTTGGGCAACCTCTCTATACAGGCTGTCCCTAAAAAAATGTGCACACTATTTGATCGTTAATAACTTTCTTTCTTTAATGTCTTTTGCCAGATTTGAGTGGTTAGCCTTCCATGCTTTCCTGTCTAGGGGCAAGAGGCGAAACAGGACTATTTTTCCTAACAGAATTTTCATAATTTGAGTACCATTCTGTGGAGCGCGGTTCAACCTAGATTTATAGTATGGAACGAACCATCGTTTTCGTTACTGTAGGATTAGGTAAGAAGTTGCATATGGAACCATTGTGAAACAAGCTCTGATAAATTTTTCTTCAAAAAATTTGAAAAATGTGTGCTCTGGTTTTCGCGCACGCTGATTCCACTGCACAACTTTTTACGAGTGTTTTCATCTTTTTTGACTGTGTAACCACATAGAGCTCCATGTGGCCTCGGTCTACAAAATTCGGCCGATCATTAGCTGTATCAATGGACCAACCGAAAATATATCACGGTTTCAAGAAATTGTCACCCAATTTCTCGACAGAGTACCGGACCATTTGACGAATACCAAGCATTTCCTTGATCAATCACATCGTGCTCAATTCCATCAGGGCTGTGTGATAGAGTCATTTCATGTAACGTCACTCTACATCAACGTATCAAACGGTGACGCTTTACAAGCGCTTTCTGAGCTGTTTGACGCACATGGTAATACCATCTCGACGTATGGGCTCAGTAAAGCACGTATAATGACTCTGATCAAGAATATCTTAGCAGTATCTTCAAATGGTCAGGCACTTACTATTCACAGTTTAGAGGGTTGGCAATAGGCCAAAGGTTAGCACCTCCGCTTACCATCTGTTTCATGAGCAGAATAGAAAGACCGGTGTTATCACGATGCCCACTTATGTACTGTCGATATATTGACGATTGTTGCATTATAATATCAACACAGTCCGAAATGGACGAGTGTTTCAAGATTTTAAATCAACAATCAGAGTACATAAGTTTTACCAGAGAAGCACCCCACTCAGATCAAAAACGCCATTAGCTCATCTTCCTTGTGCGGAGTTTCTGTAACGCTACAGCATATGTTGAAAAACATCCTTTTTGTCGCATTCGAAATTGTGCTTCCTATTAAAACAAGGCTCAGTCAGCGGTCTGCTAGCCATTTTATGGAATTCTGCATATGCTATGTTGATACTGTTATGTTATGCTATTCGAGAAATAGTTCAGGAATAGAAGAGAGATGTATGATATATAAGCTTGTTGAAAATTGTTACTTCGCTTTTTCGCCCATGCAATAAACGTCAGTCTACCACGCCTTCGCGGTCGGTTCATCAAATCGTGTCCGCCAATGCTAAATAACGGTACGATACTAGTGAAATGGTATCGCAAAGAGAGTCCAAGAGCATCATCTTACAAGCGAAATCAGCCCATCCTGTCGCCGTTAAGCGAGCAGTATTGCGGAACATGTATAAAACGGCAATCGAAGTCTGCAATGGGGAGAGTGAACGACAGGAGTCCCTCGAGCTGGCAGATGAGATAGCAGCTTCTATTGGTTACTACCCATCGAAGCCCAGACACTTTAGAACGTTTACATCAAACCTGCAGATCGCCAAACTGGTGCCAGGATTCCATTACACCTACCATTTATTTCCGATAGAGTAAAACACGCGTTTCAAACATGTATAGTACAAGCCCAGTTGGAGCAAGATGTTCTTCTCGTAAATACCCCTTGAAGCAACATTAAGCGACAACTAGTGCGTAATCGTTTACACGATACAGCTTGCATTACTAAGGACTGCGTCATTTGGCCTAACGGAAAAATGGGAGACTGTGCTAAGTTTGGCATTGTCTACGAGATTGAATGTCTGGTATGCCACGCTACCTACATAGGGGAAACTGTGGGAACTCAGATGCGTGTTAATGAACACTTGGCGAGTAAGAGGCGGGAAAGCATGGCTAGTCCGCTAGGGAAACACAGAAAAGTAGATCATCACGGCGACGACTTCGATATCAAGTGCATCATCCTAGGTTATGAGTCAAGAATTGCTGCTCGCAAAGCGCTTGAAGCGGCATACATTCTCTCGCGCGAACCGAAACTGAACGGGAAGGAAGAATGTACAGCTCTCCATCACAAGTGATTTGATGCCATTTCTGTCATACTGTCACTTATAGATATCATCTCCACTACTACTTGAGCTGCCCATATCGGTCAGCTATAGTCTTTTACCACCAGTGGAGTTTGAAGGCACCGTCCACCCAAAATGGAGGTT